GGAATGTTGAAGCCAGGAAGCAAGTGTGATTAACTTAGTGGGCCAGAGGAACTGAAGGTGCCTGCTTTGGCAGGGAGGGGTGGGGGGGAACTAACAAAGAGGATTTGTAATGCAGAGCCCTGGAATAGCTCCAGAATCGGAGAAACCAAATATTGAAAACAGGAAGATTAGTCGAAAGTCTATGTGAAAAGCAGTTAGATGCCTACAACCCCTCCTCTACTCTCTCAGGAGACAGATATTTTAGTCTTAGATATTGAACCAGAGGCACACCAAGCACAGAAGATGAGATGGAATATGGAGCAAAACTGAAAATAGGGGCTTTAAGACAAAGTTCTATATAGTGATTAATAGGACCATTCCCCTTTCTCAGTTTTCAGAATATCTGCAGGCAGGTGCTGTCATGCAAGAGTCTGAAAGATCCTCCTCTGATAAATTTAATCCCAGAGAAAAAGTCTTAGCGATACTGTCTACTTTTGGGGATCCTCAATAAAATGACAGATTCTTCTTGCCTGATCACCCTAACGTGAAGCCCACAAGTTGGCAAGCTTAGCTCCCCTACACAGAGCTTTCAATAACAGCTTCTAAAAGTATGAGCAGATAGCCAAGTGTCATGAGACATTTAAAGAACATAAAAGATAGAGTCCAGGGGACCTCCCTGGTGGTCCAGTGGTTAAGACTGCACTTCCAATGCAGAGGGCGCAGGTTCCATCCCTGTTTGGGGAACTGGGATCCCACATGCCGCATGGCCAAAAAATAAAATAAAATAAAAAGTACTGTTCTGAAACTCTAAACAGTTCCTTAGGGGAAAAAAGTCCAAATCAAATGGAGGTGAAAAAAAACTCAGGAAACAGTAAAACCAGGGAGGAGAAAAAGGAAAGATTTTAACTATAATATCTTGAGAGAGATTAGAGAAAATATTGCATGCATAAAAGATGAACTAGATTCTTTAAAAAAAAAAAAAAAGAACCTCCAGAAAACAAGACCTCTTAGAAATTAAAAATATGATGACTTCCCCAGCAGTCCAGTGGTGAGACTCTGCACTCCCAATGTTGGGGGCACGGGTTTGACCCCTGGTCAAGGAACTAGGATCCCACATGCCACATGTCATGCCACCCCCCAAAAATAAGGAATTAAAAATATAGCAAGTATGAAAAATACAACACAGAAATATTGAAAGGTAATGTTAAAGACAATTCCCAGAAGATAAACCAAATGAAAGAGATGGAAAATTGGGGAGAACAGATAAAGTAAATTATAGAGGATCATTCCAAGAGGTCTAACACCTGACGAATGGAAATTTGAGAAGAAATAAACAGTAGAGAGGAGGAAATTATCAAAGAAATGGTATGAAAAGATGTTTTCAGAACTAAAATCATATCTATAGATTGATACAGCACAGTGAATGAAAGAAAACCAACTTCAACTTACAGCCCTGTGAAACTGCAGATCTCTGAGGATAAAGAGAAAGTCCCAAAAGCCTCTAGAGAGAATAGTCATATAATGTTAGTATTCAAAATGGCATTAGCTTGCTCAAAAGCCACAAACTAGGGCTTCCCTGGTGGTGCAGTGGTTGAGAGTCCGCCTGCCGATGCAGGGAACACGGGTTCGTGCCCCGGTCCGGGAAGATCCCACATGCCGTGGAGTGGCTGGGCCTGTGAGCCATGGCCGCTGAGCCTGTGCGTCCGGAGCCTGTGCTCCGCCACGGGAGAGGCCAC